TCCACCAGCGCGACCAATGCCGTCTCCGTGAAATTCCAGGCAAAGAAATTTAATATATAAATTAAAATGGTACAATAGACTGCCTAAGTTAATGAAAAATCAGTTTACTAAAATCAAACACTTCCTTGAGTGACAGTATGGTATCCCACATCTTTAGGGTATCTCCTCTTCAAGAACTCTTACTTGGACACAAAGATACAGGACAATTTTCATCAGTTTCCAACTTTCTCTTTTTAGGAAAAGCTGTTGAGAAGGTGATTGGCTTACAACTCCAAAAAGTTTTGGATAAAATGGATTATCTTGGCCCCTTCCGCTCAGGTTACAGGATACAGTACTGAGATAGCATTGATTCCATTTATGGATGATTTTGGGGGGGACCAGTATGGAAGTAGAGCATCCCTCCTAGCCCTCCTTGATCTCTTGGGGCTTTCTATGCCATGATCATGATAACCTAGTTGTATCTGTTTAAATTTTCTGATCATATACTGATTTTTGAAGTTCTAAAAACCCTGGCTCTGTCTGTTTCATGGACATGGTATGCAATTCAATGATGATCCAACCATATATTTAGCACAGCTGCTACGATGAAATGGGGATATTAATGAGATGATGGATTAAACCAAATATGAACCACTGAAGAAGAAAAGGGCAACTACTGCAGGGTTCTGCCAAGAAAACCCACAAAGCATTCACATCTAAGACAATAATTACAACCTGACATTAGAAGGTGAGTCCCCCAGGTTATTCTAGTGTATTTCCAGGTATCCATCAAATGACTGAGGAACAGCAAAGAGCACATGTGAATAGCACTAAGGTTTATCCACTGTCTGGATTAAAGCTGAAAGGATGTGTGGTTGCTGATATACCAAGAAGCAAAAGGAAAGTTTGAGGATGTAAAGATACTGCTGATAACAGAATATCAAAATCATGCAAACTTGTTGTAAGAGCAGAAATGCCAAGATTGAACAGTAACATTCTGTTCATTCAACAACAGCTAGCTACGTAATTTGATATCAGAAGAACATAAAATCTATTGCAGACAAGAAAAACGTAGAAGACATTGAGTATTCATAACTATTAACAAAGAGGTGTCAAGATTAGTGCTGGAATACAATCCCCAAAATGGTATAATTATCTCAATTCAAGTTCAAGACCAGTGAACTGATGTCATGGTGATTCAGGTCTATGCACCAATAGGATTTAGAGAAAACAGATTAGTTTGATGATGACTTGCAACATCTTGATGCAGTACCTTAAAAATATATCATACTAATTATAGGAGACTAGAATGCTGAAGTAGGAAATGAAATAGCACCTGAAATAACAGGAAATTTTGTCCTTGGTGTATGAAATTAAGCAGGAGACAGACTGAAAGAGTTCTGCTGAGGAAATTATAGTAAATACTTCCAGCCACCTAAAAGATTACTTTATTTACATGAATATCACCAGATGGACCCACAAAATCAAATTAACTATGTACTGTGCAAATTAAAATAGGGAAGTTATTTTCAATCAGCAAAAACAAGATGTGGTGCTGATCATGGCTGAGATTATGAACGCTTTGCAAAACAATAAATTAAACTTAAAATAAACCATAATAATGAGACAATAAAATATTACCTCAGCAATATTCCACATGACCGAATATTAAGGTAAAGAACAAGTTTAATGGGTTAGATGTCATTAACAGGGTGCCTGAAGAGTTATAGGCTAAAACTCATGACAAGATTAAAGATGAAGTGAGCAAAAATATCCTAAAAGCTGTAAGCAAAAGAATGCAGAATATTTTCTGCTGATACAGTGAAAATAGATGAAAAACAAGGAGAAAACAAAAAGCAAGTCATGAAAATATGCCCAATAAAAACTGAATTCTAGAAAACATCAGGTCTCAAAAATTCACATCAAAAGTGACTGTAGATATTAAACAATGTCTGCTTCTTGGTTAGTCTAGACCAGTGGTGTCAAACTCACATCATCACGGCAGCATTATGCGATGTATCGAAAGTTTTTCCACCATCGCTAAAACAGGCATGGGCGTGGCTAGCACATGACGCATCTGGTCCATGGGCCAGGAGTTTGACAGCCCTGGTCTAGACAAAATTTTGAAGTGTGGAAACATCACAATTACAATAAAGAAGTACATTGTCAGGGACTTGGGAAAACCCTCAGTTATAACAACAATTAAGATAAAGCTAAAATATTTTTGCATTAATAGTTAAATAATACAAAGATAACACAAAGCAGAGGTTATTGGAAAAGACGCTGATATTTGGAAAAATGAAAAGAAATAAAAGAGACTAATAGGAAACAGGATGGCTAGGTACTGTCATTGACATCCTAAGGACAGCTTACAATAACTCAGTAATTGACAATCCAGGTAAAACTATGTCTATGTGGTCAGTTAAAGTCAAAACTGACAAAAGAACAATAGATTCTCCAATTATATATGTTAGATAAGAGTGAGAATGATATGCTGAAATATTGGAGTTGCTTTGCATTAAGAAGAGACAACTACTGGAATGAATAAGCAGTGGGGGGGGTGAAGTTGGACAGACACAGGATTAAAAAAAAAAGGAAAATTAAGTTCTTAAGTTTAGGTCAGAATTCTCTACATGATGCTCATGAGCACCAATTGACCTATGCCCATCTCTGATACAGCTCATCTCAAGGCAATTTAAAAAATAAAGATGGTAGATATCTTTTTTTGACTGGATATATGTACTACACAGAAAAACAAAGATAAAGATTAATTGAAATGATAAGGATCATCTTAACCTGGAAGGAACACTGGTTCCTCACCCAGACTATGTTTTGAAAAATGAGTATTTTGTTAACATTCATGTTCACTATCTCAGGCATTTCACACATATTTAAAGTTTTCAAGGCAGCCATTTTAAGAATGACCAATACTGAGATTTTTAGAAATAAACTGATTCTCATTTTTTATATCTGAATCACTAAGTTAAAGGATGACAGTTTGAAAATATGTATAAAGAAATGTAATAAAAGATAACAATATGAAGAGGTTTGTGCTATAACTGATTTTTATGTTTGTGTTTCATTCTTTCATGACCCAAATTTGTTTATTTCTTACTTGTCTTTCCTTTACAGTTTTCTTAAAGCTTGACCACTAATCAAAAGTTAAATATTACAGCAAGGCATAGATATATGCCTGGATTCTGATTATTTCAGCGGTTATATTCTACTGATATACATTAACACCTCATTCATTCAGCTGACATGTTCAAATTGATAGTATTACCATCTGAAATCAATTCAAATAGATATGTATATGATTTAAAAAGCGTTGTTGCTTTTCTAGAATAATGTATCTTATTGTTACTTCCTTAGCGGTCTTTAAAAAGTTTGGCCGATGTGATCTTAATTTTTGTGCAGCATTTTATCTATTTATTACTCTTTTACCCCAGCCTCATGATTTACAGCTGTGACGGATTTATCCTGCCCCCTTTAAATCTCAGCTAGCTAGCTGCACTTGGAAGTGTAATTTCTGTTACAATGACTCTGGCATTTCTTGACCTACTGGCCATAAGAGGCAGACAGAGTCAAGGATTTATTCGGTCTCCCCTCTATCACTTTGCCTCTTCTCTGTGACATTATTTCAGGATGGGGTCCTTCTGCCTTTGCTCCCAGGCCTTCACATATACGCTTTTACTTTCTGACTGTCCTCCTGGTAGGATGCAATTAGCTGGGTGCTAGGCTTTCTGTATCTCTATAATGTATATCCTTAAACAAATCTTTGTGCATAGTTAGAAAACCTGTTCCTCTATTGCTCAGGTTGGATTCCTTGTCTAAGGAAGACTGAGATGTACCTAGAATTTTTTTCCTTCCAACTAAACCTATCAGCAGGGCATCACTTTAAGGACGATAGTTTCACCAATTTATCTGGGGATTAAAAGTAAACCCACCCCCGGCCCTGAAGTACAGCTCAACTCCTGATAACGATAGAAACATCCCCAGGACTGTCCATAGCTTTCTTCCAGTATGTTTTTTGCCCCTTTCAAGTCTAGTTTACAAATGTACTGTGCTAACCAAATACTAACCAGGCCTGACTGTTTAGCTCCCAAGAGTAAAAGCAGCCATAGCATTGGAAGGGACCAAAGGATTATCTAGTCCAGGGGTCTGCAACCTTAAACACTCAAAGAGCCATTTGGACCTGTTTCCCACAGAAAAGAAAACACCGGGAGCCACAAAACCCTTCCCGTGCCTGACTATTTCTTGAGCGGCCACAAAACTAGCATATGTAGTTGAATAAAACGCCTGTTTTTTTCTGAAACTTTACTTTTCTTGGATTTATCCATGGTTGGCCTACCAGGGGTTGAAAAGCTCAATAAATCGCATGCCGGCAGGTGTCGCACATTGGCAGTCGCACACATATTTTGAATTGACAGGGAGCCACAGCAGAGGGGTGAAAGAGCCACATGCGGCTCCAGAGCCACAGGTTGCTGACCCCTGATCTAGTCCAAGCTTCAGCCATGGGCAGGAAAAGCAAATCATCCATGAGAGGTGAAGGTCCAGACATGGAGAACCTACAGCCTCTCTAGACAGATCATCCCACTGCTCTATAAATCCTGCCACCATGAAGTTTCTTTCTTACAGTTGTTGTTTCCACAAGTCCAAGGTGGTACAACCCCTATTGCTTTTTAATTCAGGGAGTTAGGTGCTGAATAGACATGTAGGGTTTGCCCTTTAAAAAAAACCCACTCTTTTCTCCAGTCATCTGATAGCGCAGCTAAATAATTCCAGATGATGGATGGTATTTAATATTCCATGTCGCGCTCTAGAGCCGAACTTCATGAGCCGAAAACTGGGTAGTGTGGACTCCGAAAGGGAGGGAGGGGGACGCTCGCGCCTTCGCTTTTCGCTTAGCAACAACCCCCGCCAACCAGTGTAGTAGCTCAGCCCCTTGTAAGACTAGCGTCTCTCTCTCTCTCTCTCTCTCTACGCCCCCCATCTCCCGCCCCTTCGCTTTTCGCCAGCCGGCTACGATTGGAGGCACTGCCTTCCAGGAATGACTTCACGGCAGACTCCGCCCCCGACGCTGGAGTGAATGAAGGAGCGGAGCGAGAGCAGCATCCGCCGCAAGGAGTTGCAAGGGACGTAGTTGACTGGGAACCGGGCGGCGGAGACAAGGGCGTCTGGGAAGACGGGACCGAGCAGCAGGTGGTCTTCTCGCCTGCATCTCTGGAAGCAGCGGAAGCGTCTTCAGTCTCTGGCGGCGTCAGCAACTTCAGCCTCTCAGCACTGCTGCATCAGCTGCAATCGTAGCCTCTGTATCCCTCCTGGCCGGGGCTGGCGGCTGCAGCATCAGCCCTTTCCCGACAACAGCAGCTTAGCATCCCTCAACCCAGCCTTCTCTTTCCCTTGGGTACCACTAGCCGCGGCTTATTTTCTCTCTCTCTCTCTCCCGCCCCGCCGGCGTTTCTGCGGCTCTTTCCATCCTCTCCGTCGTCGCCTGGGTCCCGGCTCCTTTTTCCTCGCCGTCTCCCCTTCCCGTCTTTTGACTCGCTTCACCTTTCCTCCTGCCGCCCTTTTCTCACCTCCCCGAGGCCCCCCTCAGCAGCCAAGACGCCGCGGGCTGTACTCCGAGTGAAGAATGGGGCGTCGAAGCTGGCCAAATCGCAGGCGGCGGCCGAAGCCCCCGGCGGCGCCCCCGGCGCGGGGCTGTTCATGGAGCGTTCGCAAAGTCGCCTCAGCCTGTCTGCCTCCTTCGAAGCCCTGGCCATTTACTTCCCCTGCATGAACAGCTTCGATGAGGAAGAGGCGGGTAAGATTGTGGGGGGAGAGGATCAAAGGGGAGGAGGGAGGACCTGTCCGCGGTTTGGAGAGGGATTTGGGGGGGGGGGAGGCAGGAGACCCCCGACCCGCTGCAGTGAAGTCAAGGAGGTGGCCTACCTTATAGGCAATAGCCCAAACTCCTCCCTCCCTGTCCCCCTCCCCCCCCCGTCCCCCCAAATAAAAGGCACCAACTTTCTCCAAGCAGGTGCCCTCCTACTAAAAGCCCCTGAGCCTCAGACAGTAGGATGGTACCCAGAGAAGGATTAGTTTTGTCTTCCCTCCACCATGGGGTGAGGTGGGTTTTTTTGGGGGGGGGGGTTTCTCCATTTCTGGTGGAGGGTTAGAGAAGAAAAACAGGGTGAGAAAAAGGCTGTCTCCAGGAACGCTCATCCTCCTTTCCTTGTGGTCTACATCAGGGTGCAAAAGGGAACGGTTCTGTGTGGTTTTTCCCGCTGGGTGCATTTCAATCTCCCACTGTTGCAGCTTGGCAGCAGTGAAAACCATCGTGAATGGAACTAAAAATGAGGAAGCTTACATGTTGGAAAGGCCGCTGGCTGGGGAAGAATTCACCCACTTTTGTGAAACCTTTTCTGCCCTGTGATGTGTGGAAACAGGGCATTGGTGAAACTAAATAAACTGGTAGGAAATAAACAGGCTTTGAATGAGCCAAGGGCATTTTTTTTGGATAAACAACCAAGAAAAGGGAAAAGTGGAATCCAGTCATGTCAGACAGAGAGAGAAAGTAAGTCAGGGCACCAGCTTTACCCAACTTCAAGCCTTCCAGAGATGTTGAGTGACAGCTTCCACCCAATGTGGCCATTAGCTGTGCTGGCTGCTGCTAAGAGGAGTTGCTGTTCAATAATCAGATTGAGGAAAGCTATAATATGCAGTGGTTGAATTCTAGAGAGGAATGAATGGAAGGTGGGAGTAAATGGTGGAGGAGGCTAATATATCAATGAAAGTGTGTTATGGGATAGCACTATTCAAATCCAGGATGTGAATAAGAAGCGTGTGTATGTGTGCAGTTTCCTTCTCTGAATTTATAGAGCTAGGGCTGCTAGCATAGAACCAGTGACTGCTATTAGCCTGTAAAACTGATGTCTGCAATCCGGTGGCCCCAGATATTGAATATCAGCTCCCATAATCCTCAAACAGCATGACTAAAGTGCAGGATACAGGATGGACTAGATTTTGAAGTTTTGTTGGCCTGTCAATAGGAATGGTATGGTCATGGATGTGCTGAGTCAATTTCTACCTGAGTCAGTATGATGACAATTTTATTTAATCTGGCTAATTCGTTTTTGCAAACTGCCAGATGCAGCTCTTTGTACATGCTGTCTATGTGTCCTGTGAAGTATGCCGAGCTAGATTTCAGAATTACTGTGCATACATTTAAAGGGTCACTTTTCCCATAATCAAACTCCTTACCTTTTGATTTTTATGAAGTCAGTGTATTTATAAAAGCATCACATATTTTTTAATCCTTCTATTTTACTCCTCAGCCTTCTGAGAAAAACACTGAAATGCAAAAGTTTAAATATGATAAAAAGGCCTCATCTGACAATGAATCTTTCCAAGTATCCTAAACACGGGTTGTTATCATATACTGATCAAGAATATATTGATTTGACTCTGCACAAACACAGCAAATATTTTATACATGTAAATAGTTAAATCATGCTAATTAAAGAACAACATTTTAATGTTTAATTAAATTTGCAAATTAAAAGAAAACTTTATCCATCAATACAGTGGTACACAGCTACAATAAAGATTTTGATTCGTTTATTGGATCAATGTGGCTAAAATTCAAGCAAATATATGCATTGTAAAAATAATACCAGATGTGAAAAATGCAACCTGGGACTTTGTTGACTTTGAAAAGCTGGAGATTCTTTTTTATTATTATTCCTTTAGAGGAACAACAAGTCTGCTTCCTGAGGGAGAGATAAAAGCATTAATTAATGGATTTACTCAATTAATTGATTTACTCAAATTTAAAATGCCAGATGTTAATCTCATAGATATACTCTTTATGAGCCAATACTAGCTCTTCCACTACAGTTTACATTTTATGGACCAGTGAGATTGATTTGTAGAATCTAAGAGGAAAAAAATCCCTATATTCTAAAATTAATTAAACATACATTCTTATATTCTGAGATATTGAAGCTGTTCTCCAGATTAAAGTTTTTGAGTGTGGGAGAAAAAGTAGAAGCACCTCTAATGAAAAAAATCTTATCCTTATTGTCTTTCCTTGATATTTCATGTGTAGTAGCTCCGTGCTATTTTCTTTTTTTATGAACGTATAAAATGGAAAGTGAATTTGTAGATTTTCTTGCTACAGCTACATGCAAACTGTTCTGCAGAATCAGAGTTGCCAATTAATAAAGATAAATGTTCACCCATACTATTGGGTCAACTGTGTTGGCTGCCTCAGGCAGCAATAAATGCTTTGGGAAGGGACAAATTCAGAATATTTTGGGAAGGCTATACCACCTGCCTTCCACTTCTAGATTTATCTTGCCATCGCCAAGCAATGAGAGTTATCCGTCAACAGCCTTTTGAGAAAAACTGCAATATTACTGCATTTAAGTTCCATATTTGAACTGGATGGCATGCAATTTAAATTCTTTCCCTTAATAAAATACCCTGGATTGTACCCTTGTGTGTAAACTTGTGGCCCTACATTAAAAGTTTTCATTTAGTTTAACAGTAACCATCTTTTGATATCTTACTGCTATTTTCATATTTCTTTTCTAGGTATCATTTCTAATCCTGGGTCTCTCTTTTAAGTGATGGTTAATGTGTAACCCTTGTAACCATTGGTTATTAACTTTATTTCTAATTACGATTCCTCTAGTGTGACATCCACTGATAATTCCAAATTTCTTTGTCAAAGAGTTATTTCCGAAGAAGCAACATATATTGCGTATGGAAAGGGGAAGGATGAGGCCAATTTGATGAGTAATTGGATGGAAATGCACATATTAAGCCTTCCTTTAAGAAAAAGGAAAAGTATCAGTTGTGGAAGAATACCGGTGTCCTAGAATAGCCTCACAAATAAATACTCACAAAGGGCATCACACAGAGATTTGTATCTGCTTGAAATCTGCACATGGAGAACTGGACATAGAAAAACATGGGCTGAACAAATTATTTCATTAACATAGCTAATCATTTGAAAAGAACAGCTGAATAAGTCAGCACAGGAATAATTGATAACACCAAATATTCTACCTGGGTCAGAAAAATCTTACATTAAGCCCTAACTTAAAATTCCCCAGATGTGCTAGGGCTGTAACTCCAGAAGTAGAATACCAGCTTAGTAGAGGTTGATCTACATTTATGATTTTATCTTTCAAATGTGTATTCTTTGATCAAGTTTATCTGCATTAACAGAGGGATAGAATCAAGATCATGTGAAGTGTTAATATTACTTTATAATGCCTTGGTAAGGCCACACTTGGAATACTGCATCCAGTTTTGGTCACCACAATGTAAAAAAGATGTGGAGATTCTAGAAAGAGTGCAGAGAAGAGCAACAAAGAGGATTAGGGGACTGGAGGCTAAAACATATAAAGAACATTTGCTGGAATTGGGTATGTCTAATTTAATGAAAAGAAGGACTAGGGGTCATATGATAGCAATGTTCCAATAATTCAGGGTTGCCAAAAAAAGAGGAAGTCAAGCTATTCTCCAAAACACCTGAGGTCAGGACAAAAAGCAATGGATGGAAACTAATCAAGGAGAGAAGCAACCTAGAACTAAGGAGAAATTTCCTGATAGAACAATTAATCAGTGAAACAACTTGCCTCCAGAAGTTGTGAATGCTCCAACACTGGAAGTTTTTAAGAAGAGTTTGGACAACCATTTGTGTCTGAAATGGTATAGGGTTTCCTGCCTAAGCAGCGGGTTGGACTAGAAGACCTCCAAGGTCCAACTCTGTTATTCTATTTTATTTTATTTTTGGGTAAATATTTTTTATTTTTTTCAAACATAGACATAAAATATAACTTTCAAGAACAGAGTTTCCATCCGGTCATAGATAGTTACTACGCTTACATTCCTTTAACAAGCTCCATTCACAAGTTCCCATTACATCTTTTACGGATAGAAATTCAAAACATAAAAGAACAGATTTTAACATAAAGTCTAGCATCTTCACCTAAACAAATCCATTATATCAATACAATTTTAATTTCAAATTAACTTTCGCTCATTTTTATATCTATATATCAATCCTGATTTTATCTTGTTCTTCTTCACCTTGTATCTTTTACCATCAGTGTCAAAATAATTTTTAACAATATTCTAACCTCTTATTCTAATTATTTACCTTACAATTTTATCACCATAAATCTTAATTTCAAATTCAATACAACTCCATTTTTATTACACTTTATAGAATAAAATTCTATCTAATTCTTAATCTCTTGACCCTTTTCCTCGAATCTTAGTATCTTAAACACACTTAAAAACACTTATCATCTATTACAGTTTTCATGTTACACAGGTTTATCACAAAAACATGTTTTATTTAAACTAATTTCTGGCTTATTTTCTTCCATACCTCCCTCTATTGTTTGGCTGTTTTCCAGCATATTATATTTGGCTGATTCCCAGCATAGTCTCCTCCAAAGCACCAATATTTTTGGCTAATTTCTAGTATAGTCTCCTCCAAGCCTACCACCATTATTGGCTAATTTCCAGCATATTTTCCAGCATAATCTCCTCCAACTCTCCTCCTATTTGTTTGGCTGATTTCCAGCATTTTATTGGCTGATTTCCAGCATTCTGTTATTCTGTTTTATTCTACTTCTAAATAATGATATTAAACAAAATAATTTGGAAGGTGTGCATGCATTTGGGTAGTTAATTGATCATAGCTTAATGTAGACAATGTGAAAAGAACAATATAATAGAGAAAACATTACATTTCTATCTTTTTATCCCTATTTATTAATGGAGTCAATAGTGATATTAAGT